TCGGCCTCGGCACTGGGCAGCTCCCGCGAGCAGGCGAAGGGCGCGGGCGTGGCGCGGGCGCGGGCGCGGGGCTGGAGCACGCGCAGCGGGTCGCGGCCCGGGTCGGCCTCACCCTCGGTCTCGTCCTCGGCGCTGCGCGTGCTCCGCCGCGGCCCGGGCGTGACGAAGCGCGCGAGGGGCAGCTCGTTCCGGCGCGGCAGGAACTGGGAGGAGGGCGGTGGGTTGGCGCCCGGCAGGAAGGGCCTCTTGGCGCGGCCCAGGCTGACCAGGAAGCGATGCTCGGCAGAGTGGTAGACGTCGTAGCCGTTCTCCAGCCGGCGGTGGCGGAAGCGGCAGTCCCGGGGGCTGAAGTGGTGCTGTGGGGAGCAGGTGCCGGGTGAGCAGGGCCGCGAGGCCCGGCCGAGTCCCCGGCCCTGCTGCCCGCACCGGAGGCCCGCGTGCTTAGCTAGGCCCGGCCTGGCCCCGCTCTCCGGGCGCCCGGAGGTGGGTGTCCTTCTGGGAAAGGGATGAGTATGCTCCCGGCTTTCAGAAAGTGACACCCGGGGCCTCAGGCTCTCGGGGTCTTGGCAGGGGACCCAGGCTGGTATCTGGGTGAGGGTGAGGCCCAGACAGACCCGGGCACAGTCAGCCTGGGGTCGGGTTTCTGGAGGCAGAGCTGGCTGGCACGCAACACTGCCCCCCCCCCCCCCAAGCTGGCTCGCGTTCATCTCTTCGCAGGGAGAAAGGAGATGGGACAGAGTTTATGGAGCCAGCTACCAACAAGGGTCCTCAGGGCGGAGAGGTCGGTAGTTTGGGGTTAGGGACAGGAAATCACTAGCAGATGAGCTGCCACTGGTCCTGCTGCCTTCTGCACAGACCAAGGCCCGTACATATCCACTTAATCAGGCTCCACCAGGTATTTGATAGACAAGGACGATCTGTTTGCCTAAGTGCTTTCAGCAGTGGTTTATCTTTGGGTAGATACTGCTGCACTGCTGGGACATTCCAGTAACTGGAACGGAAAGTGTCTCCTCTCCAGAAATTTCTAGTGGGTTTGTTTGGTGCTAAGAGACACCTGAGACATCCAGTGCTCTGTTTGCCTGTCTCGGAATTCTCTGGCCTGGGCCGCAGGCTTCAGTCTGGGGGACACTTTGCTTACAAATCTGAGGGACAGGCGGTCCTCAGCAGGGCACGGGCAGTTAACTGAGGTCTTTGTTAACTGGAGGGAGCCATAGTCCCGCTGTTCACTTCACTCCACTGAAGTTTGGAGAAGTGAGCGGATTTGCCCTGGGTCACAGCTGGTGACAGATCAGAAGGAAGCCAGTGGGCCCTCAGCTTTCTAATGTGTGCTATGGCAGGAGCTCACACGACCCAGGGGCCCGTGGCTGCGCCTGGGTCCATCCTGGATGCAGAACTGGGTGGCGGTGGGCTGGGAAGACCGGACTCCAGATTCCCTAGGTTCAAGCTGCCCATACCTGTGTGCTTCATCCTTGGGCTGCATGAAGTAGCAGTGAACACAGGTCACCCGGGGACAGGCAAATGGAGACTTTAAGCTAGGGAAGTCTGTTCTGTCAGAGGGATCAGATGGTTGCAAATGGTGACCAATACAAAAAGAGACTCACTGATCCGAAAATGTTGCCTCTGAAGTCCATACAGAGGAATCTCCTGCTCATCACCCCAGTTATCACCACGAAGCCAGCGTCCTCAGATCTGATTGTCAGGGCACCTGCAGAGAAAGCCATGGAGGTCAAGGGCTCCAGTCAGGTCCCACAGCCATCTCCTGAAGACCCCATGACACCTCCTGGAATTCTTTCACCTGTGCTGCACATGTTTCTCTCCATCTGGTCTTTATTTCTCCCTTTGCCAGCTAATACTTTTTTTCTTTTGTACTGAAGATCAAATCTAGGGCCTCACATGCTAAGCAAGTACTCTCCCACTGAGCTACACCCCAGGATGTTTTTAAAATTTCAGTTTTTGAGACAAGGTCTTGCTAAGTTCCCTAGGCTCGCTTGCTTCAGCTTCCTGAGTAGCTGGGATTACAGGTATGTGCCACCGTGCCTGGCTTCTGGCTAATACCTTTTAATGTTTGCAGTGGTGTTTATGTACTTCCAAGCCTCAGGCTTCTGTGATTTGAAAATCCACATTGAGATGTCTTATGGGTCTAGCTTGTCTACATTCTGATTTTCCACACAGATGTGCTGGGTCAGAGTTGCCCGCCCTCTTCCCCAGACGCAGGTAGCACCCCACGAAGACTTTCCACATCTCACTAACCAGAACTGGCTGCTCCTTCTCAGCCCGAAGGACAATGCCTGCACCCTTACCACAGCTGGTGATCCTGCCCTTGCGCTAGGGTTACGTGTCTGTGCCTCCTGGCAGGAGCTATGCTGGTGCAGAGTGTATCTGTCTGCATTGATGCATGGCATCTTCTCCTGGGGTTCAGTCCTTTGTCCTTTACTCACTCGGTGGTGTCCCTTCCCAAGTCAGTCCTCATAGTCTTCCGTGACCTCATTCAGAAACTCGTGTGTTGAGGGCCTGGAGTCTGGGTGTACTGCCTACACCACGAATACTGATGGCAGCGTAAGTGTGCTTTCTCTTCTGTGGTAAGGTACAGTCAGACCACATGGTGATGGGATAGGAATAATGATCAGTGAAACTCCTCCCAAAACCTAACATTTTCATTCCAAAACCCTTTTCTAAGGTCTCTGGGGTCACTTGCATTTACCTACTGCTATGGCTCATATGCAGATGTTCCCCCAAGCCTCAGGCACTCACAGATGGAGCTTTGGGGACGTGATGGATCATGGGTGTGTGATATTCATCACTGGATTAGTCCACTGATGGGTTTACAGTTGGTTGTGATGTTGTTCTGGAAAGTAGGGTGAGGTAGGAGGTCTGGCAGTTATTTAGATTCTTCCAAGATAGTGTCTGCCTATATGTCTCAAATAGAGACATAATTTTGAGGCTAATTTTGTGGTGAACCTTGGGAGATACATTAGCAGTGTATAAAAAATAGTTTCTGTCCTGATGCCTTTTCAGTCCAATTGAGAAAAAAATCACAATAACTGTTTTTGAGTTGTTGTACTCTAAGAACTTTATAATTTTAAATTCTCAAAGCAACTTATATTTTTTGTTATACTGTTAATATTATTTTAGTAGTAGCAGAAGCATTCCAATTTAAATGACAAGCAGAACTCAAACTCCAGGCAGAGACATCCTCCTTGGACACTATAGGTTCCGCCCTGCAGAAATTATTACAAGAAAAGACAATGCAAAGGGCTGAAAAGGCTGCCGGCAGGAGGGCATCGCATTTCGGTGGCCCTGCGTGCTGGGGGACAGGTGCTGAACCCGGAGCCGGCACCGGTCCCAGTTCTGCTGCTTACACCTCATCTCCTCAGGCAACTCACAGCTGTGGCCTCAGTTTCCTCAGCTGCAAGAGGCGCACCAGACAGGCACCCCACCTCCTTCACAGGTCGCCCTGTCAGGTAGCACGGGCTTGCACATGGGTGCTGACCGGGCTGTGGCACGCTCACATCTGACCTTGGGCTGCTGGGGCTCAGGGTTGGTGTGGGCAGGGAGTGCAGATTTTGGTCTCCAGGGTCCCAGGGGCAAGGGCTCAGAGCAGCTGCAGTGGGGCGGCCGTGCACAGGTGTTGGGCTCCCCAGCGAGAGCTGAGGGGAACGTTTAGGAAGAGGAAGGCTTCCTGGTGCTCTCAAAAGCACAGATTCCAGGGAGAACCTGGCAGAAGAATGGGGAGCATCCCAGGCTGCTGGAGCCACCCCACCCGCTCCAGCCGCTGGAACGGGGCAGGCTGGACAGGGGAGGACAAGACCTTGGAGGAAAAGGGATCCGGGGTCAAGATGTCCTCGGGGTGACTTATACTCCTTGGGTGACCTTGAACTTTGGTGTTTTCATGTGTAAAGCAAAGGCAGTAGAAACATTTACCTGAGAAGGTAATGGGATACTTTCAGACACTAGACAGGGATTTTTACATGCTAGTAATTACAGTGCTACCATTGCTACTTCCCTTTAACTTCTGCTATAAAAGAACATTATCTGCTGTATTCTATTCTCATCGCCAGTAAACGCCAAGATAAGGGGGAATGTACCCTCCTTATGAAAAAGTGTTGAAGAGCCTGAGGTAATTCAGCTTCAAGGGAAGAAAGTTCCATGGGGGGCAATGAAAATACTAGGATCTGGGAAGTGATATTAGCCAAGCCTGGGCTGGGGGTGTAGCGCAGTGGAAGACGCTTGCTGGGGTATTGAGGCCCTGGTTTGAGTCCTCAGCACCATAAAAGAAAAGAAAGCCCTGTTAACCAGGCGTAGTAAACATCTCTTCCCCATGTTTCCCCAAAGTGAGCTCATGTTCACAGTAGGACAAGTATGTGGGTCTGGGGGAGCTCCAGCAGCTCCTGACACCCAGGAGAAACCTTATAAGCAGGTAGTTTGCAGGGTGACCATTGTCAAGACCAATTACCTGAAAGCAGTTGGGTACTCAATTCTTAATCAAGAATTTACTAAAAACAAAACAAGCAGATTCAGATTTCACTGGAAATGTATAATTAACCAGGAGGAAAAACAACCACAAACTCATACTTTCCCATCAGTGTAAAGGTGTTGCTTTCCATTCATCCATGAGGTCATTTCAAATCCTTCGCCAAAGAGCTATCTACCTGCTCTGACTATCCATAGTTCCTCCTTCTTTTCTTTTCGGTAACTTTTAACACTTACTAATAACTTTTTCCCTATGGAAATACACATGTTAACTGATTGAACAGTGCCAAAGGTTTTATTTAAATCAGGAAGGTAGATGTCTCCTCCACTATTCTGACCCTAGCTCCTCTCCCCAGGTTAGTGTCACTTCCCAAACCCCTTCGCAGTGCTTAGTCCACATATCAGATGGAACACACACACAAACACACACACACACACACACACACATACACACGCACACGCACACGCGCATGCACGCATGCAAGCACCTGAGGTTAGCTCAATGCGTTTCTCGCCCTCCTACTCACACTCATTCACTGCAGCTGGCATGCTGGGTCCTCGCCAAGCCTGGTGGACTTCCAAGGGTTCTGCCCCATGGGCTGCCTGCTCGGGGCTGATGGGACCCTTCCCCAACACTGCCCGCCTGAACTGCTCTTGATTTCCTGTCAGGAGGACGTGACTTTGGAAGGCTTCTTTCAGCAGAGATTCCGTGATTTGAGAGAAGTTCTAGAAGCACTTTATTCCCTAGTTGTAGGGAGCCCTTTCAATCTATGGGAATCAAAATGATTTACCCTACTCCACTGCCTTGCATTTTACATCGTGGGGAATCTTGCAGTGACAGTCAGGGCAGCCCTCTGTAGAGGAAGAGCTTGCATTTCCCAGAGGGCTTATAATGAGCTGGGGAAGAAGGAGGAGGAGGAGTGGCAGATTGAGGCCTCTGGAGAACTGTGTGGTCAGAATTCAGTCAGACACAATGAGCAGTGCTGGGGCGCAGGAAGAGAATCGTGATGATGTCAGACTCTCTCTGTTGAGCTCTGGCTTGTCTCTCAGGGCGCCTCGAATCCTGAGCCCTGCTCTGTCCCCTGGAACATGTCTGGTGTTTGAGGAGAGCTCTCTCCCCGCTTTCACCCCCTATGAACACTTGGAAAGATTTAAGCTGAGCTCTGCCTGTGTAAATATCTGGCTATCAGCTTCAAGGTTCCTTGGTTTCTAGTAGAATGAATATTTTGTACACAGCAAGGCCAGAGAAAAAGTAATCAGTTTATTACAACAACAAAGGGAAAATCATAATTCTTATAAGTAATTTCTCAGCTACTTAAAGATTATGATTACTCTTTCTTTCCTTTAATCCGAACCGTATTGGATCAGTTTGTATTTTTCTGTATCCTTAGAATAAGCTTTGCATGTCCTCCTAAGATAGAAAAGCCTGTCTTTTCAATCCCCCCTCCCCTCCTCATTCTTTATGAGGATGCACAGGAAGGGCCCTTATTTGAATCACAGCTAATTGACTGACTGTTGCACATTATCATCCAACTTTCCACAAACCCAGTCTTTAAAAACATCCCAGTTGGGCTGGGAATTTAGCTCAGTGGTTTCGGCGCTTGCTGCACAAGCACAAGGACCCAAGTTCGATCCCCGGTACCAAAAAAAAAAAACCACCAAAAAAAAATTCCGGTTGTCTCATGTTGCCAATGCGTTTGCCACTAGCTCAGCTTCTGGCCAGGTAGACACCTTTCAGCTCCACAGAGTAGGACCAGCAACCTATGGTGCAACCTATGGTGCTACCTATGGTGCTCAGCAGCAGCCAGCCTCTGGATGGTTGCATGGAAGGAGACTAGGAGGGACAGGCTGGTGTCTGGTCAGGTTCACCAAGACGCAAACCAGGGTGGAGGGGGGTCTGTCTTTAATACGTGTGGGGGCACATTGTATAAGGCCAGACCCTGAGTCCTATTCCAGTCCTTGGAATGATACAGAAATCCCCTTCAGTTTCCCTACTTAACCTCATTCAACATTCATGAGATCGCCTGTGGACCTATCTGGTTTCTTGTCCATTTAGATTCCTTGTCTTTCTGTATGTTTTTTTCGAATCCTTGGACAGGTCAAAGGGAAAGTGAGTCCTATCTTAAGAAGAGGGTTTTGATAAATTCATTCATGGTGAGAGAAACCAATAAATAGCAATTAGAGAAGTGGCAGACTCTCCCCCTAAAGTCTATAACACACACACATGCATATGTGCACAATTAAGTGTTTTTCCAGGCAAGAGGCTAGGAGGCTGGGTTAGCCTCTGGCCTGGCCCAAGGTTTCCCCAGCCCCCCTGCAGGTGGACACGGTGTGCCCCTACCCAGCCCAAAGCCCCTACTCACTGTAGATGGTCGGGTGAGGCGCGCCATCCACATGGCCGTCCTTATGGATCTGCAGGTGGTAGCTGTTTCGGGCCGTGGCTGTGTACAGGTGGGTCAGGCCACCCCAGCTGGAGCTGAGCAAGGGGGAGGCATCGGGATAGGCTGCGACCCGGCTCAGGGTGCAGACCAGGACCCCGAGGCAAGTACCCAGCATCGCACCCCTCTGAGTGCCGGGTTGAGTCTGAAACCTGAGCCTCCTCCCTGGACTCTTCCTCCTCTTCTCTGCAAGTAGCTGCTGTGAGGCTCTTAGGCTGGATTCCCTCCTTTTCCCGCTCCAACTTTTAAAGGGTAACAGTGTGACATCAAACCGGAAAAACTCCACTGTCCACATCCTCTGTGTTGTAATCAGCTATGTGAAGAAAGTGCAGACTTCTGAGGCCCGCGGAAGGCACATGGTCAGAACACACACGGACGCACACACGCACACACCCCCTCACTTTCCAGCCAGTGCTCCCAAAAGTGAATCCTGTGTGGGTAAAGTTATCTGTGACCCTGGGTTGTCTGTGACCTGTCCCACTTCCACCAGGAAATGTGAAGGCAGCCAGCGGTCCGAAAACACCCAGCTTCAGTCACACAGTGGCCGCCTCCTCCTCGGCAACCCAGCTCCTGCCAGGCCGCTCACTGTGGTTTCTGGGATGCTCCTACGCCCTGCTCCAGCATGTGCTCAGCACTGCCCATGTCTGAGCACAGGTGGGTGACACCGCCATTAGCCAGACGGCACATGCGAGATACGCAGACTGCGAAGGGACACGAAAGCCACGGTTGCTGTGTGGGAAGAAGGAAGACAAGGCCTGAGTGATCGGACACGCAAAAGTCCATTTCTGTCTCCCAGGTCTGGACGGTCCAGCACACATCAGCTGGTCACGACGGGTGTTCCAGTAGGAAAGAGGCTCCCTTAGAGGCGGCTAGGGTAGGAAACACTGCTGCTGGGCGGAGAGGGCAGAGGGCAGTAAGCTCCCCGAGGGTGACCGCTGGGCATCCCCACGCCTGTCTGCTGGCTCTGCGGCCCACACCTTCTTGCATAGGCTGCTCGCAGATACACCTTCTGGGAAGCCACCACTGACAGCACTGCCAGTCCAAGGGGGAGCAAGCAGCCAGAACAATGCCAGGAACCCGGGCCCAGGAGCCTTTAGTCTTTCAGGTTCCTGCTTTACTGAGCAAACACGATGGACAGGCATCAGGTGGGCCCTCAGGCTTGTGTCAGAGCAAGGTGTGGAGCTAGGTTTGGAACTCAGTGGTGGAATACTTGCCTAGCAGGCGTGAGGCCCTGAATCCAGTCCCCAGCAACAATATGCGCGCGCGCACACACACACACACACACACACACACACACACACACACAAAGGGGGGGAAGAAAGATGTGAGTCCTGCCTTAAAGAGCTCAAATCCAATGGAGGAGGGGAATAAAAATCAGTAGCCATGGTATAAATCATGGTCCATCAGACAGGTTCGGCAGAGGTGCCGTTCCTAACTCTAGATGTGTGTAGCTTACAGGGTTTATAGATTTACAGCATTTTCACGTCTCTTGGGTCCCTTGAACATCGCTGCAAGTCTGGCAAATTGGTGTGCTGGGCATCATTGATATTTCAGTGTTATGCAGGAAGAAATGGAGATCTTGGGGCCGTGGGTCAAAGTCAGAGCCAGAACTTGGTCTTCTGATTCCCCAGGCCTCTTCTCCACCAAGATGCACAGGGGCAGCTGACACTCTGAGAGCTTATTATTCCACTTGCCATCCTGCATATTGTACCTGCCTGCCGTGGCTCATTTAGTCTTTAGAATAACCTTTTAAGGAGACACTGAATTCCCTTTATGCATATGACCTGAGGGACTCATTCAAATATAGAAGCTAACATCCTATGGAAGAGGATGGATTTGAATCTAGGACTGACTTCCCATCTCCCACACCCTCTCCGGCTATGCACGCCCACGCAGCACACTGGACCTGGAGCTATGCATGCGAACGCTTGGGAGACAATGGACGCAGCCACAGGCAGAGCATTGTCCCTGGGCCTCTAGCCTGGATGATTCTCTAGGATATGCGAGCTTGGCTCCCCGAAGTTAGACACAGTGCTGATATTTAAATGCTTTGTGTGAAAGTCTTCTCTGGTAACAGCCTCAGGATGGTTCATAAATGTAGCCCTGCACCTTGGCTAGCTGGAGAACTAGCTAGCTTTCAGAATCACAGGGTGGATCATTCCGGACTATTTGCCAATTGATAAACTTGCATCTCCTCTTCAGCTGAGAATGGTAGAGATGGGAAATTCCTTGACTCTACTGGCAGCTACGAGAACCTTCTCTGGGTGAAAGATCAGAGGGAGTTAGTTTAATAATAAAAAGCAGGGCAAACACATCCTCTTGGGCTTTCAGAATCACTGAGCTGAGAAAAACTCCATTCACTACCAGCACTGTGTTAAGAGCTAAATGACTGGGACACCAAGAAATGATAGCAGCATTCACAAGAGAGAGCACGGTGGGAGGGTCCTGTGCTGAGGGGCTTGGAGGGAAGGGAAGAGCTGACGGATGGAGCTCAGGAGGCGGGGAGGGGAGGCCTGACCAGCCCTGGAGAGCACAGTGGGGCCAGGCGAGTGTCCAGGGGTGCACGCCACATTCACTCAGTTTCTCCAGGAGTTGGGTGGGGCCCTCGCTCCTTCAGCTAGGGTTGTTAGCAGAGAGAATTCACAGGTTGGCTCACTCCATTTCCAGAGATTTCTCTCCAAAAAGAAGCCCTGGGCACTTAGTAGCTGGATCTGAAGAGAGAGTAGAGCCCAGGGAAGTGGATTTATTTCTGAGGGGCCTTGGGGGTAAGAAGAAGAAGAAACATTTCCACTTGGCAATAGGAAAGGTAGAGTCAAGAATCTCAGAGTAATTCTTTGCATTTGCAATAGGGGAAAGTGGAGAGTAAAGAGAGAGGCTGAGATTCCAGCCCCGGCTGAATGCTCTGGAGGACTCCAGACCTTGCTGCCCACTAGAAGCACCTGAGGAGCTTTAACCCTCACCAGCCCAGGGCTGAGCTTCGCCCCAGTGAGTTGGGAAGCCTGGCTATTTGGGAGATGCTGATACTGAAGCACTTCCCAGTAAACAGGCTCAGAGCCTCCACCATGCGCTGGAACTAGCACATAGAGACCAAGGTTCCTCCACCAGCCTGGAAACCCAGGGACTTCTTGAGGAACAGTGGTAGCAGGTTCGCTAAAGAAAGTACTCTGAAAATTTCCAAAGCAGTGCTCTGCAGCCCATGGAGAGCCTTTTCCTCATGCCTGCTGTGTGGCCTTGGCAGCTGCAGAGAGCTGGGAGTGGAGGGAGAGGAGGGCTTGTAGGGTCCTGGACGTTGTAGCTAGAGGGCACTCCTCTGTCACAGTTCAGGGGTGGGACCCGGGCATGGTGAGAACTCAGGAGCCCACAGTGACACAGAGGCCAGATGTGAGCAGGAAGCCGAGGGAGGAGGCCACTGCTTTGTGCTTCCTGAATGTCGCTGTTGGGGACTGAATGTGGCAAAGAGGCTGGTCCCATGGCAAGTGGGGAAACGTTCCATCTCCAGCCTGCCCTGGGAGCCCCTGCTCAGACCTCAGGAGAACTTATTCTGGGAGCTGGGTAGAGGCCTCAGGTCCAGGCTCCGCACTTATGAACTAGGGTCTAATGTGGGTTGGGGACATAGGGGTCTCCCAACCCACAAGCTTGTGACCTTCTGTTATCTCCTGGTGTCTCAGAGTCAGCTCTGAGAAGGTTTTGACAAAGTTTAATCCCACTGTATGATATTCTCTCTTATATTATGTAAGGCTTAACAGTGATTTTCAAAGAAACAAACACAGCCGGGGTTTTAGCTCAGTGGTTCCAGCGCCTGCCTTGCAAGTGCAAGGTCCCAAGTTCGATCCCCGGTACCAAAAAACCCCAAAGAAACAAACACAAAAACATTGGTTGGACCATCATTAGGCTGTGGTGGAAAAACAAGAGGAACCAAGGTGAAAGAAAACTGGGAGATAGGAAAGGAGGTGGTCTCCTGGGGCTCCTGGTTTTCTTCTCTTTCTAAGACTCTGTCCAAAGGCCCTGTCCACCCCTGGTAGGACTTGGTAGTCCCCTGTTCCTTTCGCCTCATCTCCTGCCTGTCTTAGGATAACCTTGGCTGGTCTCCGTGTTCAGGCAGAGGGATAGCAGAGGTTTTTCCTGGGCTTCTCAATGTTCCCTGGGGGTGGTGCCCAACCTTCCTGAAATGCCACTCCAGTTCTCATCATCTCAGAAGTGAAAACATGCTTCCTGGGCTCGGGATGTAGCCAGCAGTAGAGAGCAGTTCTGTCCCCAGCTGGGCAACAACCAAGCAAACAAAAACAAACCCAGCAAAACGAAACAAAAATACTTCCTTACAACCAAGCAGATTCTCTGGGCTTTAATGTGCCTACTTAACATCTAAGTATTTATTGAAAGCCTGTTATGTGCTAATACCTTGTAGAAAATCCTTAGAGTAGCCTAAAAATGGAAAAGTACACTCCTGACCCAAGAGCAGCTTGCAGCTTCTGGGCAGAGTGTATTTTGTGTGTGTCCACTCCACCACACTCTGAAGGCATGTTCACCTCCATCATTTGTTGTTGATGCTCAAAATAGCCCTGTGAGCTGAACCAGGAGGTGTTTGGAATGACTTTCCCAAGAGCAGCCTAGCTCCTGATGCGCAATTCTGTATGGTAGGATTTTATAGAACAGGGAGACAAAAGGTGTTATTTTAAATCTGTATTTATTAAAAAGTAAATCATTGTGGATATATGAAATAGAAGATGAAGAACCCCTATAGAGGTAAGATGCTATCAAAGGTAAAGCAGTATTGGTTTGGGGACACACACACACACACACACACACACACACACACTTTGAAAGTACAAGGCTCCCTATATTTGGGATGAGCACACTTTGTCATGCCCAAGTCCACCTTGGCTATCTTTCCAGGCCAGTGTGTATGTCTGTATCTCTCCTTTTTAACTCTTAGCATTCCATCACTTCCCATCTGAGGGGTCCCTCCTCTGGAAGCCTTGTTCCTTCTCCTCTTGAGACTTTCGGGGTGATTCCCAAGGTGAACGTTGTGTGGATCCATGCATGCCTGCACATGTGCCCCTGCCTCCTATTTAGATGTGCCACACATAGCAATGGCCCTACCTGGGTCACCACAGTTCTCCGCCACATGAAGGACTTACCCTTACTCTGGAGCCAGCCCCTGCCATGGACTCACCCTCTTCCCTTCTTTTCCTCCAAATGAAGCGCTCCATTTCCCCCCAGGACAATATTACTTTTGTCATAGCAGCGTTTCCAAAATAAAGGCCCATGACAGGAGGTCCTGTCTTCAGGGAGAGTGAGATATCAGGGGCTGGAAAAGAGTTAAAATCCACATAAAATGTTGGGGTGCCTCTCCAAAGCTTAGCTGGGGGTGACTTTCCACTCCTGCTCCTTCTCCCAGGGAGCCCCAGGCTTCCAGTGATCTCGTGGGGACCACATTCGTGGACTTATAAATGCTGGCCCGTCAGTCAGGACCGTACACGTCTAAGTGCAATGCATTTAATTAGAAAGTAAGCTTCTGTTCCAAATGCGTATCATTGTATCTTGCCACCCATTTTGAATTTAATACAGAGCACAAAGTTCTATATTATAAGGACAGCACATGT